TGGACCTGTAATTGTAACTCAACTGCAGGAGAGAAAATCAGGTCTTTTGCCCTGCCAGATGGGAATCTGAATGGTCAGAAATAAAAATGATTTGGCACATATAACAGATTGCTTTTATGTAATATATCTGTGTTTTCAGCTGTAGGTAAGCAATGTTTGAGGATGACATACAGGGAAAAATCACCTCTTTGCCTCTGTTGCCAATAGGCACATGCCTACTGTGCCTAATAGTAGATGTGGCCCTTTTTCTCATTAATTAGGATTTTCTGACACAGTACTTGTCTCTTTTACTGCACAGTTGGAGAAAGGCCCTTAGAGTTTGGCCCCTGTGTTCATAGAAAGGAAAGATTTGTTTTAGGATAATGGAGTTGGTTTAGTAAAGTATGAAGCGAGGTGACCCGACCTCATGTTCGTTTCATACATCCAATCACATGTAATAGAAGATCACTTTTTTTAATTCCTTACACCTGATTAGATGTTTGAAGTAAAGACAAGCTTACTTTACTTCTCTTCACCTAATTTGTATTCAGGAATACACATCTTGTGTTCTCAAACCACGTGCTCAGCCTGGATGTGATCCTCATCAGTTAAGCATAAGGTGCCATCAGGTCCTCCTTCCACCATTTCAGGAATATTAGAATATCCAGATATGACGGAATCAATGCATACTTTTATAACATTCAGATTGGATTACTGCAACGCCTTCTACTATGGTCTTCCTGAGAAAGAACTACATTGTTTTCAGCTGGTACAGAATGCAGTAGCCAGGCTACGTACCCGCCAAACCCATCACTGCCACATCACCAAAATTCCCTACACTGGCTTCCAATTAAATGGACACTATCCTTCCAAATTAGCCTACTCACTTTATAAAATTCTAAATAAAGGGCCCTGCTTTTTCGAACTTCTGATTACTCTTACCCCACATGCTCCCTTCTCTTCTCAGAGAAAGGAAAATCACACATGCCCAGAGACATGTTAAAACTTGTTGGGTCTCGTGCATTTTGTCATGCAGCCCACACAATATAAAACTTGCCGCCATCCATTGTTCAAGATGCTCCCCCTCTGGATGGTATTTTAAAGCAGAACTCCTAGCAAAACTTGTATTAACCCTTGTAGTGGGGCTGCCCCTGCACTGCAAGGGTTAGCTGCTTGTTTTTGTCTAGGTGTTAAAATAAAAAAGTTATACTCACCTGATCTTTGGAGCCAGCTTGCGCTAAGACCGGTCCTTCCAGCCTCTCTCCCTCTCCACTACAGCAGTCTAAGGATCCTTGAGTCATCACATCCAATACACTGCGTATAGAACGTGAGGACGCCGAGGGACATACCATCGCTGCAGTGGAGAAAGAGACAGGCTGGAAGGAGTGCTGTCACAGCCAGTTGGCTCTGAGGATCAGGTAAGTATCATTTTATTTTTCTCCCTAGACCAAAACGAGCAGTTAACCCTTGCAATGCGGCGGTAGCCCCACTGCAAGGGGTAATTTTTTTCTTCTTCCTGGAGTTCTTCTTTAAATGCAGATTCAAGACACGTCTATTCATCCAGACTTATAGCAGCACCTGACAAAGATCTCAACGCCGACCTGATCAGTGCTTTGAGACCCCAGGTAGGAAAGTGCTATAGAATATTATTAATGTGACACTTTAGTAAATGTAGCCAAATGAATCAATCAGCAGTCTATTCCCCCTTAATCTTGGCTTCTCTACATCCTGCCCTGTGTTATCTTCCTCTAGATCCCGGCCCATGCATCTACCATCTCCAGTCACTACATTTTGCATGCTGTCTCCCTGCGTATTTATTTATGGATTTATTTATAGTGCTCTGTATTCAAACTCAGGTTTAAACTTCATAGAACATGGAGTCCTATGTTATGAGTGAACCTGGTTATTTTATGTCAGATAGACATTGTTTGAAAATATTCAATTCTGGCCGTATCACTTTGGCATTAAACACAGTATTGCAATATGCAGAGCTTGTTGTCTGTTTCCCTGTATTTTAATATGTCACAACATAATTCCCTTTCAGACAGTCTGTCCTGCTGTTAGCTATCTCTGTGTTGCATCTGTTTTTTCCTCTTTATTAAATCTTACCGTGTAATACGTGATTTGTATGTTGATAAAAGACATGACGGTGCAGTTATTACAGCAGTGATGTGAGGTTGGTGCTAAGCAGGGATGTATATTTTGGCACACACTTTTCATTCACAAATCACAGACTACTATCTATTCAGCAGAAAGGCAGCCAAAGGCGTAAAGATGTTTTGTACAGTGATGTTTGGCAAGTTCTCCTGCATGTTTTTTAATGATCCCTTAGTGTTTTCTCTTAGATTTATTTGGCAGTAGCAGTAGTGTGCATAGAGGCTTCTACAATCAAACCACGGACCTCATGTATCAGAGTATCTGAATGAAGCAATCTACTATATTTGTTTATTCCAAGTGCACTATGGGAGATTGATAGGGACTATCTGGTTCATTAACATGGACAACAGGATACATTCTTTACATGCATATTGCCCCTAGGTTTAAAATGACTAGCAAAATGTGTGTTTTACAGGATTGGTAAGGTTGGGGATATTATGAACCATTATGGAGGGGTGTTTTAGCAGGCATTATGTGCAAGGAAAGATATGTGGAGGGTATGACAGTGTCCAGTATGGGCAACAGAGGAGTATAGAAGGTATGAGATCAGACAGTACTATGTGCAGAGAAGAGTGCAGAGGGTATGACATGGGCACTATATTCAGAGAAGAGTGCAGAGGGCATGACAGTGGGCAGTATGTGCAGAGAAGAGTACAGATGGTATGGAAGTGAGCACTATGTGCAGATAGGTGTACAAATGGTATAGCAGTGGGCACTTGGTGCAGAGAGGACTGTAAAGGGTATGACAGTTGGCGCTATGTGCAGGAGGAGTGCATAGGGTATGACAGTGGGCGCTATGTGCAGGAGGAGTTCAGCGGGTATGACAGTGGGACTATACAGTATGCAGAGGGGAGTGCGGAGGGTATGATCAGCTGCACTGTGTGTGCAGTGGAGTGCCAAGGGTATGCCAACAGGTAGTATGTGCAAAAGCAGTGCCAGAGGGTAGGACATGGGGTAACTTGTGCTGAGTAAAGCACTTACCTGTTGATTCCCAGCACACTATGAGAGATTAATCGGCACAACTTGATTGACACATGCAACAGGATACGTTCTTTAAACACTTTTATGCATGTGGCCCCTAGTTTTATAATGAAAAGGTATTCATAGCCAGGCTGCATTCACCAGGGAAGATTTGTTTTGTTCATGGCTGATGATATACAAGTGTGATAGAATATTTATCTGAAGCAAATAAAGAACAATAAATATTAAAGCTGCAGTCTGGAAATCTGTTTTTCTCTTTTTAATTGTAGGCCACGGCTCTGCTTTAGATCATTATCTATTGGGTATAGTGCCACCTGCAGGAGAAGGATGTTGTGTGCAACTAACAAACAATAAGGCCTTGTTCACACCAAATGCAGAGCAGATCCGCTTAGGTTCCTGCACACGCAGTGCAGTGGGTTGTGCCGCATTTTTGCCACGTTTTTGATGCTTTCCGGGCCGTTTTTGGTTAAAAATATTTTTTTTTTGTTCAATGTGGGCTTTCAGTGCGTTCCAGGCATTTGCATGCATTTTTGATGCGTTTGCATGCATTCAGGAGCAGGTAAAATAGGGCTTGCTGCAGTTTTTTCACCTGCTCTGTCCCCCCCCCCCCCCATATTTTGTATTGCAAAAAAGAAAGATACAAAATATTTAAACACGCAGGCAGCAATAAATCCAGAAGGACAAATGCTGTCTCCTCCAATGAATGCAGAGATAAGGATTTAAAAATCCTTTTTTTCCCCTATAAATGACAAGGAAGGTATAAAAATAAACTTATCAGCTGGATTGCTCGTGATAGCAATGAAAACAAGATTAAAATAAATAACTAAAAATGTACAAACACCCCATCACCTTGCACACGCATGCAAACACAAAAAGGCGTGAATGTTAATGATGATTATGTGTATGTGTATATGTACCCAGATATTGTGAAACTGAAAAAGATAAACACATGATTGTGTAATCAGATTGGATGTAGATGCATTGCCATTAATGACTGAGCCATGGGGAAGAATTCAGACCATAAGTGCAGAACTGCTCACAGATGAGCCTTGAAATGCATGGAACATTCCTTTTCTAATATTACATGACACAGTAATGACATTGTAATCCCCACTTCCTCAAGCTACCTTTAAATAAACTATAGTGTACAAATAGCATAGACATGCCAGCAAACAGGAAAACACAACAGTTGTTTTATCATAATAGTAGCCTGCTTTTTAGGTAGACATATCCATGATAGCTTATTCTAAAAGGATTAAAAATAGTATACACACGTACTGCCTACAGCATCAATGCCTGCCTGACTGAACTGAATAGAGCTTTAGTCAACTATGTGAAAAATATGCTCCTTCAGTAATGGAACCTCCAGGAGGTGGAGAGAAGGCGTTTAAGGCAGCCTCTGAGTTTAAATACAGGTCAGCATTTTTCAGTAGGCGGAGACTCACTCCATAAATAATTTCCGTTTCAGAGAATAGGAGTGTAATCAGTATTGTATATATACACGGGCTAGGTGCATATATATAGGTATATATATCCGGGCACTCATGGTCTAGCACCAGTCAAATAGGTCAAAGCATCAGCATTTTATTGTCAACATTTCAATGGATCTCAAGTATTTATAAAGATGGGCCAAGGTCATTTCAAACATTGATAATTATTTATTTATGTATTTATTATTGGTATTTGTATAGAGCCGGCAAATTTTTGCAGCCCTTTACATAGTGCACATTCACATTAGTCCCTGATCTCAAGGAGCTTACAGTCTAACTATAATCTTACTATTAGCATACAGTTTCAAACATTGATGCTCATATACTATTTACAAATTCTTAGAAGACCAATTTTCCTCATTTCCTCTAATATTGCTTTCATTTCATTTGTAGAAACTGGATGACAGCATTTCTGAATGCAGTACAGTGGATCTGAGGAAGTCTCGGGAATTTATTGAACAGCAGCCTGACTCTTCTGAAGAGTGTATGGACCCAGAGGAATGCTTTACAGAAGGTATAGTAAACACGTTTGCTTTTCCTATAAAAGATATACTTCATTTTCTTTCTTTACACTAGAAAATCTAAAGAAAAAACTGCACAAAAATACAGTGAAGCTAAAACTGCACCTTTAAGTGTATGTCGGACAAATTAAAAAAATACTCATTAAGTCTTAATACATGCACACTTCCCCATATTTTATCCTTCTAAAAAACCTGCAGATAGAGAAATATACCTGTTGTTGCTGGCATAAAAATGCACCCAGTTCCTAATTTCCTTTAGTGGGCTGAGAACAAAGCGCCTTTTCTACACTGATATTGCAAGGAATAGTGTTAGCGCTGCCCACTTGACTTTGCTGAACATCTACACTACATAGGATGAGGTGTTTTGTACCCCAAGGGGAGAACAAGGTGGGTAGATTACACTGCTTGAGATAAGACCGCAGAGTGCACAGGATGGTGCTGAATTGCTGACAGGATTAACAGGTGTTTTTTCTTGCACTTATCAAACAGATATAATAAAACACTTTCACTGGTATATATAACATTTCATATACAACACATGCATCTCACTCCTCATGTACTGATATTCAAGTAGTTCAGGCAAGCAACATAAAATCCTTTTTTAGGTACAGAAGGATCTTCTCTATTTCCATAAATCCATCAAGGTCTTTTGAATATAGACACTGTTACTGTTTGTACACATGATATTACCTTTTTTTAATTAGACTTACTAGGAAATTATTCTAATTTAATGTCGGTTTTCAAAATAGCTTTTATATTTCAAATGTTTCTCTTAAACTTTCAGTTTAAATCATCTAAACACCTTCCAGGAGCATTAAAACAAAAGGTGTGAAAGATTTACAGGGATATTCACAAAAGGGTGAAGAGTTTGGAGAAGGCAGGAGAAGTGAACAATCTAGGACAGGGGTCAGCAACCTTTTACACACCGAGTGCCATTTTTGCAACCATCAGACAACCGAGTGCCATTGAACAATAGTGCACCATGGTATTAGCAAATTTCATCCAGTGTGAATGAGCCCTTAAAAATGTTCCTGGATTTAAAAATCTGGTCACCTTATCCTGGTGGTCAGTGGTAGCTATGTTGTCCTAGATTGTTCACTTCTCCTGCCTTCTCCAAACTCTTCACCCTTTTGTGAATAACCCTGTGAGTTTCTTTTTCTTTAAAAAAGCAGCCACAGCCTGAGTAGAAAAGCGTGTCCTCTCCCAGCATGCTTTAGAGAAGGACCTTTGCTCTCTGTTTGGAAGCGGTGGTTTCTCAGCAGAGATCTGACATGCCCCATGCTGGGTCAGAACTAGAGATCTCAAATCAGGAGCATGCTTTTTGCTGATATTTGAACTATGTATCTGACATATATATCTACATAGAAAGGGAATGTCGACCTCCGCAGAGAGAGCACCGCTTCCACACAGAGAGCAAGGATCCTTCTCTACAGCATGCTGGCAGAGGACAGGCTTTTCAATTCAGGACATGACTGTTTTCAAAAGGAAATGAGGAAAGTAAATGAAAAGGACTTTTCACACCTTTAGTTTTTAAACAACTAAAATATATTCAGTTGATTAAAACTTGAATTTCAGAGAGAGGCTTTTAAGGCATAGAAGAGGCCAATATATTAAGATTAAAAAAAAAGAGGTCCGAGGGAGAGGCAGGCCACATTGTACTTACAGTGCTAGGACATTGATCAACTGCAGGGTCTCCTCTTTTGGGTGACCACTCCTGGGCCGAGTCGAGTTTCCCTAGTGACCCCGGTTCTGCTCGCATAGAAGATTTTCTGTCATGCTGGTCCACATTACAGCCTACTGTAATACCCTCCTGAAGAAGCCAGATTCTGGCAAAATGCGTAGAGTAAGTCCCGGAATGTTAATACTAAAAACATTATATATGAGTATTCTTTTGGGCTGAATGAACATTGCATTCTCTTCATAAAGTGCTTACCTCCTGGGTCACATTTGGACAGGGTATGTTATCCTGATCCAGTTTTATTTGATCTGTCATATTTGGTCAGTTTTTTTTATATGAATATGAATTTTAATCAATTGTAATAAAGCTTTTTTATCTTAATATATTGGCCTTTTCTATGCCTTAAAAGCTCCTTTTTGCTTCTCTTTTTCTGGCCGTGTTACTAGAAGGATTTACAGTTTGGGCTTTAATGTAAAGCTGTACGGGAATAAATTATAGGCTGTCATTACTACTCTCCTTCTGAAAATGCAAGCTGCCTGGCTTTCACTGGCTGAAATAAATAAATGAATGAATGAGTGAAGTCTTATTTCCTGATCTGCATATTGTTCCAGGTCAGTGACACAAAGTCATAAAGTTAAAAGTAATGAAGCCATTTGAGGACCTTTTCACACCAGGGATGCATCAAAATGAAATTTATAGACCGAAACCCAAATTTTTAATTTGTCAGACCGAAACCGAAAATGCCTTTTTCCCAACCTTTTTAACATTTCTTAAATTATTTTTAATCTTCTTTTTTTTTAGGGACATGCTTGGTGTAGGAGGACACTGAGTGCTGCTGCTGGATGGACAATCAGAGGATGGAGTGCCTGGCTCTGCCACCGGGTTGGAAGAAGGAGGAGATCATTAGGAAGTCCGGGCTGACTGCGGGCAATGTTTACTACTTTAGCTAGACCGCAGATAGGAGGCTAAAGTGAGTGTGGGAATATGGCCGCCTCTCCAGACTCCTCCATATCCATCTCCTCCCTCCTGCCCAGTTGCAGTTTGGGTAGCAGTAAGGGGTCCTCAAGTTCCTCCAGGTCTATAGATTACCAGAGGTGGTGGAAAATTCTATTTGGGTCTTTCTGATTTGCCACACGAAGCAAGCCGATGTACGGCTGATTTCAGCCGATGTACATCTGAAATCAGCCGTACCAGCCTGAAGTGAATAGCCGAACAGTGTTCGGCTCACTTCACTTCTGATCGGTCATTCACTCGGCTGCCCTCGGCAGCTTTGTGAATAGACCCCAGAGTCTTCAATCTCTTTTTCTGCAGCCACAGCACTTAATCAACAGGGAGCTCCCAGTACAGAGGCTTCCTGTTCATTCACAATCTAGAGATAGTAAATATTTACTCTCAACTCAGTCATAAATGGACAGGAAGTCTCTGTACTGAGCTGCTTCATGTTCGTTTATAAAGTGAACAGATAAATATTCTATTAAATGACTATGTTCCCCTTCATAAATGAACAGGGAGTGATGTATAGCACTTCCTGTTCATTCATAACTGGGGACATAGTAATCACTATGTCCTCAGTCATTTACAAACACAGATTGTTCAGTACTGATTACTCTGTGTTTGTTCAGTACAGCGAAGGATCAGTAAATATTTAACATATTTAACAGTCCTGTAGCTCCGCCCCCTCCCACCTCCTGGCAGAGCTTTCCTCCCTGCTTGGTCTCGTGACATCTTTCTCCTCCTTGCTGGGAGCTGGCAGCTGGATTGGCTGTGTGTCCACTCCAATCCCTGCTGCCTCTGCCGACACAGGCGTGGGAGGGCAGCGGGGATCGGAGGAGACACAGAACGAAGCTTGCAGTTGGTGCCCAGCAGGGAGGAGAGAAGCTGGGGATGCACCGCATTTTCTGCCTTATTTTATTATCGGCATTTCGCCCATGGTACCATTTTCGGCTGAAATGTTTTGGCGGGCAAAATTTCGGTGCATCCCTATTTCACACCATAGCAGTGTTGTCAAACAGTACACTGTACCGCTTGATATTTGCACTACTTTTTTTACCAACATGGCAATGCTAATTTTTGTTCTACCACTTGTTGCGCAGTGCTGCAACTCACACCTTCTCTGGGGTGCCTTGGGGTACCATTGAGAATCAATGATAAAGTAGAGCACCAGCACACCTAGCATGCAGTACAGTGCACTGTGCAATAGCATGCGTTAAACACACAGATCCTGTGCTTTTAGCGCCATGTTGTGGTGTAAATGAGCCCTTAGGAGAGTTTTTTGCACTCTTTGTTAGATGCAGGTCACTTGCAAATAAAGGAGGAAACCTGAGCGACAGTAATAATTATGTGTCGGAAAAAAGCATTGCAACCTTACTCAGTGATAGCAAAATGACAAGCAAACCGATGTGTAAAACAAGGAATAGTATCAGCATTGTACTGACTGCACTGCCATCTACTGTTCAAAGACTAGAAGCTGTTAAATGCTTACTTGTTTTTGTACAAACTGTACAAGTGGTACGCTTAAGGTTATTTTGTCCCGTGTATATTTCAGTTGCCTAGGTGACCACTCTCAATCATCTCCAAATTCTTTCTTTGCATTGTAGTCTCAGTTTAGGTGGGCTGCCTTTATACTGTGCACCCCAAGTTTGTCACATCACAAAAAACTTCCTTAATGCAAGTTACAGGACAGTCTGAATGAAGCAGCACACTGTTGTCTAAAGAAAAATAGGCATACGGTATAAGAGCTTATCACTAGTCAGTTCCTCCTGTCCTGAATGAACCTGCACACTTAAACCTGGTTGGTTGTGGGGGACACCGAATACAACTTTTTAGCATACCGTGAAGCAGATGTATGAAGGTGTCTGGGGAGTGAGCACACAAAAATGTGTGAAGTGCCATAGCTGTCATGTGTCCAAACATATCTGACATATCAGACAACTGGTGCAACACCACAAAGACCCTCCTCAGCTTGCCAAAACTATCACTGTTGAGGCAATGCAGGTGTCTGGTGGGTGAGCATACAAAAATGTGTGATGTGCCATAGCTGTCATGTGTCCCAACACATCTGAAATATCAGACAACTAGTGCAACACCACAAAGACCCTCATCAGCTTGCCAAAGCTATCACTGTTGAGGCAATGCAGGTGCCTGGTGGGTGAACACACAAAAATGTCTGATGTGCCATAGCTGTCATGTGTCCCAACACATCTGAAATATCAGACAACTGGTGCAACACCACAAAGACCCTCCTCAGCTTGCCAAAATATCACTGTTGAGGCAATGCAGGAGTCTGGTGGGTGAGCACACAACAATGTGTGATGT